GCATATACATATATATATATATATATATATATATATATATATATATAATAATGAGTATTAATAATTTATGGAAATAGTGATATTAATTATTAGCATAACATGATAAATTATTGACAAATTAAACTCACGTACAGGATAGTAACAGATATCCCAGGCACAACAGATGCATCATTCGGTACGTACCGCGTATGAAATGAAATGAAAGAATTATTTACATTTGATATATATGTATATATATAATAAATTATTGAATTAAAGAAATAAATAAAAATGGAATTAAGTGCAGGGAAAGAAGTGGTGAGCTATGAAATGGCTCGGCCGAACATAGGTATACACAGGATAGTGTTTGTGCTGTACAGACAGAAGAAGAGAAACCAGGGTGTTGTCGTGTGGTCCCCACCACCACCACCACCACCACCTGGTACTGGTTGTAGGGATGGATTCAGTACGAGGATCTTTGCCGAAGATAATGATCTAGGTCTTCCTGTTTCTGCTCTCTTCTTCAACTGCCAGCGCGAAACTGCTTCCAGAAGACGATGATCGTCTATGCTTACACTTTCTACATATATATATATATATATATATATATATATATATATATATGTATTCGGCCGGCCGTCTTTGTATTTTTTCAACTACTGCTTATTATGTTATGATGGTGCATGTATTAATGAAGACAAGAAGCATCTTCTTCTTCTTCTTCTTCTTCTGATTAATTAATTAGTATCAATAAAACTTTGTCAAAGTACTTTAATTTTTACTTATTTTTTTGGAGAATTATGTATTTACTTATAATTAATTGGCTAAAATGAGATCACTATATAATTAAATTATATGTAGCACTAAACACGGAAATAAAAACGGTGATATTGTAAATCGAACACGGGGAAACTGCTTGTCCCGAAAATGGGAATACGGAATTTTGTGGAAAATGTGTTAATATTAAAAGTATAGGGGTTTATTTTATTTATATATGTATAAGTTTTTTTTTTTTTTTTTTTTATATTATACTAGCAGTTTTTTCCCCGTGCGATGCACGAGATTGTATTTTAAAAGTAAAAAAAAATTGATCAATTTAATGCATAATAAAAAAATATAATACACTAACATAGTAAAATTTATGAATGTATTGCTATCCATATGTATTTTATATAACATTAGTTTTTTTTAATCTTATGTAAGATTTATATTCTAAACAAATTGGTTAATATTTAATAAATCGAATTTATATTATCTCTTAAGATTTGAGATATATTAATGAAAAATAGGAGATCGGAATTGTAAGAATTCTTCACGGTTCAGTTTCAATTTTGATAATTGTTGAAAAATATAGTTAGAAAATTAATACAGAAAAAATATTAAAAATAAATAATTACATAAATGCATCTAGGGTTTCTTAGGGATGACTACCGTTTCGTTCTTTTATATATAAGAAATAAATTCTTATTATATATTCTCATACATGCATGTTTTTTAATTTTTCAGAAATTGCATAATGGACTATATATAAGGTGTCTTGCATGTATTATTGAGTGTCCGAAATGTGAATACATTAAATAGTTGAAGTTTACGTGCCACATAGACCATTAAATTATATGTATCAAGTATTAAAAATATTAAAATACAACTTCTTATATTAAATTATGTACGTTAATTAAATTTTCAGAAATAAGTCGTCAACATGAATTTTGAATATTAGTTATAAAAATAAAAATTAAATATGAAATTGAAGTGACCTGTTTGCCAATTATAGTTAGACAGCTATGCAAAAGAAGGAAAAAGAAAAAAAATATTTTACTTTGCAGTCCCTGTGCAACTTGTCATTTCACTTCAGTTCTAGGCTTATCTTTTCACTTGTTTTTGGACTCAAAAGTTATCTGACATTCTGCTAAATTATAATATTGGCCCCAATAATATTTCATAATACAAAAGAAAGCCCCAAAAATATTAAATTTAAAAAGAATAATAATATCATACACATAAAGTGAAATAGCCACGAGGGAAATGTCAGATTAGTCAACAAGAAAATGTGAAAGTTCTGATTAAAATGTCAAATCTATAAGTGTCACACCCGATCAAATTAATTCGAATAGATGACAATAATATATAAAATATCATCATAAATAATTAAATGAGTAATATATATAATTTGTCTAATCTTAATTTATTTTTTTGATACAAATATTTATACAAAGTGCTTTAATTAGTTACTTTTTTGGGATAAAAGATAAATAAATTTGATCATATAATAATTAATTGCTCCGAATTTCTTCTTTTGATTAATATTTAACTCCAAATTTCCAATATATAAAAATCATTTCTTTTTTAATATAATTAAAATAGAAATGAATATTTGTACTAAAAAAAATCAAGAAAAAGAAATAGATTAAACATAAAAATATTCCCTTATAACTTGAAAAAAAGTGAAGATGTTTACCTAATAATAGTAGAACAAATCTAACTACTTTTGAATCCTGGAAAACATATATATAATCTGAATATGTAGTAGGTATTAATTTAATGCAAAAAAAAGACTGACAATAATTGTGGTATATATGTACGTACGTCTTAGGTTTTTATCCATCGGTCTTTACACATGACAATAAATAAAACACACACAGAAAAGAACTGTCAATTTTTATATACAGAGACAGTAGAAAAGAGTATATTTTTGTTTTGAACCATCGGTTTTTTTTTACTTTATTATTGACACACACGCACGCTAGGTCTAAATCAAATGTCAAATATATATAATAGTGCATCAAAAAGAAAAAGAAAAAAAAAGAGTATATTCTTGTGTAATTCAAAAGTTTGTAATTTGTATTTTTTTATACACATAATTGATGGTATAAATCGAGTATTGAGTGTAATATTGTATGGTGTTGGGTACCCGTTTGATTTATACAAATAAACAAACATAATTACACGAAATAGAAATTGAAAAAACATAACACGGAGTCGTTTTTTCATCTAGGCTCAGTCCCCTTTAATTTTGTGCAAGTCCAACGGTATCAAGCAAAAATCCCAAACTCAAAATCCTATCTCTACCATCCCGCTCTCTGAGTTGACTCGCAAGTACTCAACCAAGAATCAGTTGATCACTCAAACACTTACTTACACTCTGATACACTGAATGGGAGAAAGAAAAGAGAAGAAGAATGAACAATGTCTAAATTATCTCTATATATATCTCTCATGATATGTTGCTTTATAGCACAAGAAGCAACGGTCAAAGACAACGAAGTTACCTTCTCATTAATGCTATTCATGTACGGCAACAAACGAATGTTGAAGAAAGTCGCTGGAAAAACGACATGAAAAGCAAGGGAAGGTACATCAAAATTAAGAGGAGATCGAGATGAGAGGAGTGTATTTAGGCTTAGGTTTATAAAGCAAGAGATGAATAGCCAATATCGGATTGTTTAAAATAAACGGTCAAGATCAGTCAAACCCCTAAAACCGGGGTTACCTTGGTTAATGGGCCGATTCCAAGATTTGGGTTGCTCGATTCCAAGAATCTTATGGGCCCCTATTCAAGATTTGGGAAGCTAAACTCACAAGTGTCAAGCATAAATGGGCCAAAACTACTAGAAAATGGCCCATGAAAAAAGAAAAACTCACTTCAATTGCAGAAGGAAGAACCCATATTGATATAGGCCTCTCAATTTTTATTTTAATTTTAATTTTAATTTTTTTATTTTAAATAAATACTATATGTTATTAAATAAATTTATCGAAAATTACGAAATTATACTTCTTTTTTTAATGTATTTTCTTGATTATTTTTTTAATTTCAAGTTCAATTTGTGAAAATTATGAATTATAATTACTTTTTCATAACTGTCAACATAATTGATAATTGTGATTCCATTTGGAAGAAAAAAAAAAATCAAAATTTTCAAAATTGAACCAATAAAAGATTTTAATTATGATAATGCAAAAAAGAAATAAAAAAACAATTATGATAAAGCAAAACGGAAAAAAAAAAAAAAAAAAAAAAAGTCCCAGCATTAATGTAAACAATATTAAAGTAATAAGGTAGAAGATGTTACAGCAGTGGGGATATAGATAAACAGATGTCAGCATGCAAAGGTGGTGAATGTAAGTAATTAGTAGACGTGGCACACATGTTATTAACTGGAGTACACGTGTTCTCTTCTTACAAACACACCACTGCATCCCACGTGTCACCTTACCACCGCAAATGGTGATTGTAAAAAAACAGCTTCCACACTCAAAATTCATCTTCTTCCTTTAGCTCTTCTCTACTCCAGTTAATAAGTAAACAAATAAAATAATTTGTGGGTTTCTTTTGTTTTTCGAATCTGTGAATTTGAGCTGTGTCTGTAAGTTGTTTTGAGCTCGATCTTCTTGTGTTTTCGATTCGTACGAGGAAAAACAGAAGAGAGAGATAGAATTCCTTAGAACAAAAAAATGAAGGTATTTTCTCTTTCTAGCTTTTTTTTTTTTTTTTTTTTTGCTGCATGTTTTCATATTTTTTTTAATTCTTTTTTAAATTTTATGGTTTTGGACATGAAAAAAGGTGCACGAGACGAGATCGCAGGCTCACGGTACCGACGAAAGAAAAGTGACGAGGAAGCAGAAAGCCGAGGCCAAGACCGATGCTGAGCTGTCGCCGAAGAAGGCGAAAATCGAGGACGAAAACGAAGAAGAAAATGGGCAGGGGCAGAATGGTAAATCCATAGAAGCGATCAAAGCCGAGTTCGAAAAGTTCTGCAAAGCCACTAGCGAACATCTCTCGATTAAGCAGATGCGCGAGATTCTCGAAGCCAACGGCCAGGATTCGACTCTCTCCGATGATGCCGTTGTCCCTAGATGGTCAGTAAATAACCTAAGTCTAATCATTTTTTTTAATTTGTGTAAATTACAACCGCCACCCCTTGAGCTAAGGTTTAGTTATAACGGTAATTTTTTTATACTTGAATTATTATTACAGTCAAGATATACTGTTTTACGGGCCGTTAGATAGTTGTCCGGTGTGCGGCGGCCCGTTGGAGGTTTCTAATAATATGAACTACTCATGCAAAGGGGTGTATAGTGAGTGGTCTACTTGCACCTTTACGACCACCGAGCCTCCTAGAAAAGACGAGCCGATCAAATTGCCCGATTCCGTCAAGAGCTCGAATGTTGCTGACGTAATTATTATGTTCTTGTTCCATTTATTTAATTATTTATTTATTTTGAATTACATACATGAACGATCTTCTTGAAAAAAAATAAAAATTCGTTTTTTTGTTTTTCCGTATCTGTTTAGTTGCTTAGAGAGCACCAAGATGTTAAATCACGGCCTTCTAGAAAATCGACCGTTACCGATAAACCTTTCAAGGGCATGATGATTTCACTTGCGGGCCGTTTAACACGAACACATGTTAGTTATTCGTTCGGTTTTTTTTTTTTTTTTTTTTTTCTTTTTGATCGGTGGCATTATCGTAATTTCTGCATAAATTCTGAATTTTTAATTTTTTCTACCTCATTTTTTGTTGTGAAGCAATACTGGAAGACAAAGATAGAGAAACATGGAGGGAAGGTTGCTAGTTCGATTATAGGTATATGATCATCGATTTTTAATTTTTTTAATGTTTAATTTATTATTTCATTTTTACAAGAATGTGTGTCGATTTTCAGGGGTGACTTGCCTGGTAGTGTCCCCGGCAGAAAGGGAGCGTGGCGGCTCGTCCAAGGTTGTCGAAGCAATGTAAGAATCTTGATCACTAAAATTCTTTAAAAAATAATTTATTACAATGAGATGTTTGTCTAATGTGGGACCCACAATTAATCAGGGAGAAGGGTATACCGATAGTAAGAGAAGCTTGGTTAAGCGACAGCATCGAGAAAAAGAAACCACAGCCTCTCGATGAATATGATGTCATCAGTGACATCACCGTAGCTGGGCGTGACATCCCTTTGTACCATCAAGATCCAACCGAGGAAGCTCTCGAGACCATAACAGCCGAGGTAATGTAATAAATAAAATTTACGCCGCCGTTTTTTATGACATCACTTGTTTCTTAAAATCGTTTTCTTTTTTTTTTTAAATAAATTTCAGCTTAAGGTATATGGAAAAAGGGGTGTGCACAAAGATACTAAACTGCAAGATGACGGTGGACAAATACTCGAAAAGGACGGAATCTTGTACAACTGTGCTTTTACTAGTTCAGACAAGGGTCGTGGAGTTAACGAGTAATAAATACATCGAATATTTTTTTTTTACGCGTCGACCCTTTTTTTGTGTGCTGAATATAGTAATGATTTGATTGGATACAGCTTTTGCATTGTGCAACTTATTACGGTGCCGGAGAGTAAACTGTACATGTACTACAAGAGGGGCAAAATTGGCGATAGTACCGCAGCAGAGGAGAGGCTCGATGAATGGGACAATGTGGATAATGCAATTAAAGAATTCGTCAAACAGTTCGAAGGTTTGACCGGAAATGAATTCGAGCCGTGGGAGAGAGAGAAGAAAATCGAGAAGAAGATGCAAATGTTCTTCCCTATCGATTTGGTTAGAATGTGCACTACTTTAATTAATTCCCATATCATAGTTAATTAATTAACTAATTAATTGACTGATAAATGTATTTATTACGATAGGATGACGGAGTCGAGATTAGGCACGGTGGTTTAGGACTTAGACAGCTCGGAGTTGCGGCGGCTCACTGTAAGCTCGATTCGAAGGTCGCTAATTTTATGAAGGTCTTATGTAGCCAAGAGATATATAGGTATGCGTTAATGGAGACGGGATTGGATTTTCCGGACCTTCCGTTGGGTATGGTTACCGATATCCATTTGAAAAGATGTAAGCTTTTTAACACGTAAAGACTCGTTTTTTTTTTCTTCTTCCCTCGATTTATGTAATAATTACGATAATAATGAACAGGTGAAGAAGTACTCTTGGAATTTCTTGATAAGCTGAAGTCGAACAAGGAAACAGGGCAGAAAGCGGAGGCGTTGTGGTCTGATTTCAGTCAAAGAATATTCACGTTGCTTCCTTCGATAAGGCCTTACGTTTTTCGTGATTTCCATGATATAGCCGATCATGTGAGTTGCTTTTTTTCAAACAGGGTTTTGATTATGACATTGTATATCCCATGAATAAATAATAAGAGGTGAAATAAAAAAAAATATGGTGCAGGGTGCAGCTGCGTTCGAGACTATCAGGGATATAAACGTGGCTTCGCGTTTAGTGGGAGATATGTCTGGTGCGACTCTTGACGATCCGTTATTCGATCGGTACAAGAAATTGGGGTGCGCCGTATCTCCGGTGGAGAAAGACACGGAGGATTTCAAAATGATTGCTAATTATCTTGAGAAGACATACGAGCCTGTCAAAGTCGGAGAAATTGTATGATCGTTTCTCATCTGTGGATACGAATATCAGTACTTAAGCTGACATATTTTTATTTAATGGTTTAGTGATTATTTTATCCGATGTTGACTTTTTATCAGAGTTACGGGGTGTCGATTGAGGATGTGTTTGCTGTCGAAGTGAGCGCTTGTCCTTCTCTCGACGAAATCAAGAAGCTTCCGAACAAGACCCTGCTTTGGTGTGGTGGGTGTTGAAATCGGCGACTCATCGTATTTTTTGCATGTTGGTATTTTTTATTATTATTATTTTTTGATTGATTAATGTGTGATTATTAGGTACTCGGAGTTGTAATCTGTTGAGGCATCTGCAGAAGGGGTTCTTACCAGCACCATGTTCTCTCCCTGTTCCTGGATACATGGTAATAACATTAATCACTGTCCGTAAATCGGAAATAAATATTTTTCTTTACGTCGCGATTTAATTTGTTTTTTTTTTTTTTTCGTCGACAGTTTGGAAAAGCAATTGTTTGCTCAGACGCCGCAGCAGAGGCGGCGAGGTATGGTTTCACAGCCGTTGATCGGCCGGAGGGTTTCTTGATCTTGGCTGTTGCATCTTTGGGTGAAAACATAACCGAATTAACGGGCCCACCAGAGGTACATTATTATTATTATTATTATTATTATTATTTTAGCTGTTCGCACGCATCTACTAGGTTCCTCGTTGAAAATTGTTAATATTGGTTTATATAGGATTCGACAGAACTAGAGGAGAAGAAAAACGGGGTGATAGGGCTAGGCCGAAAGAAAACAGATGAAACAGAGCATTTTATGTGGAAGAACGATATCAAGGTGCCTTGTGGTAAGCTAATCCCTTCTGAGCACAAGGAGCACAAGGATAGCCCTCTCGAGTACAACGAATATGCTGTCTACGATCCAAAACAGGTATTAGAAAAATGAATAAATACTCGTTAGGTCTCGTTAGGTCGAGTACCTAAATATACTTGATTCGACTCTATTCTCGGTCATTTTTTTCGATTTTCAGGTTAGTATAAGGTTTCTGGTGTCGGTGAAATTCGAGGAGAAGGATGTTGAATATGATACGGCGGAGTAGGAGAATGGTAAATAGCATCTTATGTGGGCTATATCTTTTGTTCGTCGGGCAAGAAACTCGTTTCGGAAAGAGTGTTCGGTTTTGGCTGTGTGTGATTGTGTGAACAATCTTGTTAAATGGTGACATGTTTTGCTTTGTACATAGTCATCATTTTGGACAAAAATTACGATGTTAAAACTCTTTATGTAAATATGGTATTGCAACGTATGGTTCCGTAATTTCTACAGTTTTCGTGTACTATTCGATTCTTGCAGCTGTAACAACAATTTGAGTTAAAACTTGAGTATAGCCTAGGTTACACGAGCTATGACAAAACAACATTAAAAGAATTCACCAGTTGTCTAAATTGGGCAAGAAACTTATCGGATTAATCCCGATTCTTACACCTATCGATCCCGATCTATTGCATTGACAGCCAGGTGTAAGAAAAAGAAAGTGTGAATATATTTCTTTCAATTCAATGTACAATTACAGTTGCAAAATCAATTCCATTCTCTCAATCAAAAAAACCCCAAACAAGGAATATCTAGACACCAAAACATACAATACACCTCTAATCGAAACAAGTGGAAAATCAAGAATCGAAAAGTCAGTGATACATTACAACAGGGGGGAACATAAACTTATCCGAAACAAACGGGATCACCTCGGGCCGCTCCATTAAATCCCGATAAAAATCATACTCCGCCTCGTAATCGTGCAGCGAAAGCTCCGCCTTCTGATTCGTGTGATAGTGGTGCCTCGCGAGTTTCGATTTTCCGAACCCGAAAATGCTCACTTTTTCACAAACACCCAAAGCAAGCATCACCGCCTGCATCCCGGACGAGTAATGAAAATTTGCCCCCTCGTGAGACGGGCCCCACTCGCCGAAATCTTTCCCGGTTGACTCGACGAATCTTTTCAAAGAATAGTACTTCACGATTCGAGCACACATGACATCGAATTTCGGGTTTGTGATTATTAACGGGGCTTTGTGTGAGGAGTTGCAGACTAAGTAATCGAAGAAATGCGCAGGCTGGCATATGTACATGATCATGGGTACATTTTTACCGTAGGGTTGGCAAAAACAGCCTTCCCTACGCGCACATAGATGCAGAATGTTACTATTGACAAACGAAATATTCGTTTTCGATCCTACATTTTTCTCGAAGCTTGTCGTTCTCGCGTTGTTCAAACGGATCACAGCTTCGTGGCTATCGATTAATTTACCGTAATCCCTCTTCATTAAAATCCCACTATTCCCCACCACAGCACAGCTTTTGTATCTCCCTTTCGAACTCTTCTCACCGTTGAACTCGTCGATCGGAACTCTAATCTCGCTAACCAAATCCGACATTGCGTCGGAGTAAAACCTCCGATTCCGAGACCAATCGGATAAGTACCTTCTGAAACTCAGCCACAGGCGGTAGAACTCCGGCGACCGGAGCTGCAGCGGCGTGCCTCTAGACGACCGGAGTTTCACGTCGATGTGGTATTTGCCGGAGGAAAGGAACGTTCTCTGTCGTCCGCGGGTTCTGAAATTTCCCTCGAGCAAATCGTCGATCTCCTGCTTCAATTTGGGCCCGCCGATGTCGACGGCGGCGTGGTTCAATAGGGTGGCGTTGAAGACCGGTTTTTTAGGGGTTCGAACAGGTGAAAACTCGTATTTCAGCTGGAGAGATCCGTTCTGCTGAACCACGACTCTGATAGTGAGAGTGGCCGCCATAACTAGGAGGAGAAGAACACTGTACAGTGGGCGTAGAGTGCGCTTCATTGAGTAGTACATACACCAATCGAAACTGTAGTAGCTGGTGAGGAAGATCTGCTAAAACACAAACGCATTGGGCATTGATAGCTAGCTGCGGAAATGCTGAATCTCCGGCGAATAATTGTGATAATTTACAGTGGCGGAGTGGAGTTCTAGAGAGAGAGAGAAAGGGGGGATCTGGGGAAGAAGAGAGAGAGAGAGAGAGTTGGGAGGAAAATACCTAAATGGAAGGGGTGGGAGAGAAATTGGGGGAAATAGAATCTAATTAATTACGTTTAGTTTAATTAATGAAGTTTAATTAATAAAGCCAAATCTACTAATCATGTGCGTGTTTGTGTGTGTGATTTTGAGATTCCAACTATTTTTTTTTGTTTATTAATTAATTATTTAAGTGAGGGGATATTTGGGGAAGGTTTCACTTTCATATGTGTTTTTATTAGATTTTGTTACATAATTGGAAGAGGGTTTAAAAAAATAAAAATGATTTTTTATTTTTTATTTGAAGAAATGGAAACTAATGTAGAACCATGATAAATTAATTACATCGCTTAAATAATAGATTCTTCTGATCCCAGTAAAAAATTACTAAACTAATAGAATTTTGTTACTCCCTACTGCAAATAGTTTCTTCTAGTCCGACTCAGTAAAAACCTACTAAATTAATAGAATTTTATTAATGCCAACCCGATTGTATTAATTTATAGAGATTTAACTGTATTTTGAAAAAAAATGTTGTCGTTAAAATAACCCATTATTGTCGGTCGATTCTTCCAAGTTACCGACTTCACAATAGGCACGATAATTTTTTTATTTTATTTTTAGACCATCAAATTATTAACAATTAATTAACCTACAAGTTGCACAAAATTATTGTAAACCCAATAGATTATTATTTGAAATAGACTTGTATTTCATTTTCCTCGTTTAAACCAAAATAAGTATTATAATCCTTTAATCGTGTTTTACAAAGTCTTGATCCTGTTTTTTCGAAACTAATCTTCGTCCCCAAGTGTTTTTTTGGAAGTTAATTGTGGGAGTTTAGAAGTGCCTTTATTTAATTTTTTTTAATTAATTATATATATATAATATAAGACGCTTGATAATTATAATTACCACAAATGCCCCTACGTGCACGCATTAACTTACGATTAAACATACAAGCACGCACAAAATAAAGACAACAAATTGAGGTTCTTGGTTACAATGAATGAAGCCTAAATTAAATGATTCTTATTGAGGAAATATTAATTATCTATTCAACATCTCCTTATCCAATAATAACACAATAAATACGCATAAAATTGCTCAATTTTATCTTGACAACCAAACGGGACGTAAATAAACTTCTGAAGTATCTAAAGAAAAACGGTTTGTTCTTTTCGATGTAAGAAAATGACATAAACATAGTTCTTCTCCAATTTCGGCAATATTTTTTCTTTAATTAAACAAACCCTTAAAAGCAATTTAAGCTCACGGTCAACGAAGTCCGTATTTCTCAAAATTAGATCAAGTAAACGACGAACCTGAATTACAAAAATCCGAGCATTTCTTTCTCCATATGCTAAATAGCAGTGACTTACGCAACTCCTACAACGTACGCATTCCAAGAATCTTGCTGTTGGAAGCTTACGGCCTCTTCGTACTTAATATCTCGTCCGACAGAGAATCCATCGATGCACCGGATATCTTCACTGTCTGGCATATTACGAATCCAAAAGTGAACCGAGCTAAATCCGGCTTCTTCTAAGCAATCCTTAACTTCAGGCAGAGACCAGCTGGCACAAAGACAAAGTTTTACGGTACAACGATATATATATTATTTTTTATTTCTTTAAGTCGGAGGATATATATTATATACAAGCCAAATAAAGACTTACAGTCTCCAGCTGTAGCTAAACGCGTGTCGAATCTTTTTGTTGTGTTTATGGAGATTGAAGTGGAGACTAATTCTTGTCTTTCGTTGAATTACGTCGAATTCAGCTTGCTCCCACATATACTAAAAAAAATATTCGATTTTTAATGTAACAACAGTGTTAAGTAGAAGTTTACAGGCAACACAAATAATAAAAGATTCAATTTTTAAGGTATCGACAGTGTAATGAAAAAAAATAAAATAACATACTGTGAAATTCGGAAATCGCCTCTGCATCCGCAGTGGGCCCTCCGACGAAGTGCCTCCGTATAAATCCATCGCAAATATACCACCTTTCTTGCTTATAGCATTCAGTGCGTGTTTGAAGTACGTAATCAGTTCTTTCCGATTATGCAGACAACAACAACTGTAGTTAAACGCACACACTATATCTCTCTCGGGCAATTCTATCTCCTTCAAGTGTTTAACGTTTCGAACATCGTTTGGGCTTTCCATCGTGCCAGCTGTCGAATCACCTTCGTTGTCTTTCGATGTAAGATTCTTCGTAATTTTGTCGAGGTTGGAACCAACCAATTTCGATTCGAGGGGCTGCAAGACATTTCCGTGGAAAAGGGATAATCTCGAGTCCACGTCAGCACCGATCCTGTTGAGGTTGTTCTCGAGGCACCAATTTAGCGCCTCGCTGTCCAAATCTAAGCCCACGGCAGTTCGTCTAGCGTCATTGTGGAGCCATTCTACACTGCCAAATGTATTACGTAATATTACATCCTTGTACACTATCCGCATTTGCAAGTTACAATCAAGAATTGCTTATAAGCTGAGCGATCATAGTACATTACTAGCTGAAATACGATACTCCCTCCGTTTTAAATTAACCATCACTAAATTTTGGCACACGTATTAAGAAGGTTAATAAACATGCACATATATTAGAAGGGAAAAAAACATTAAACATGACTAAATGACTAAAATGCCCTTGCCGCTAATTATCTTTCCATTATTTCTGAAAATTAATGATTGAGATAAGTTAGGAGTATTAAGGGAAAAACTGAAAAAGGAGTAATTAGTTTATAATTGGTGGAATTGGAATTCTAAATTGATAGATAATACGGAACAAATAATTTACCGACCAAGAAATTGGGCAAATACAGTGACATTATTCCCGATTTTAACTATGCCTATAAATCTAAAGAAATAGCAAGTCCTTAAGAAAGAAAAAAAGCAATAACCATTCTTCGACGATCATATCAACGAAGCACAGCACTGAAATTGATGCAAACCAACAGGTAAATGATTCAGTACCAAGAAGTAAGTAAAAACGATTCGATATGTTTTCTTGGAATTAGTCCGGTGCATTTAAAGCACCCTGCAGCATATTAGTAGCATGTTACCAAGACAGAGACCAAGACACCTATAAATTACAAGCTCACAAAACAAATCGAAACCGCAAGAAAACGAAGAAAATCGAAAACGGGGCAGCTCCGATGTACCTCAAAAGAGCAGTGCCACAAAAGTCTTCCTGTAAATGAAGGGGTGCCCGCCCCCCAACATACATCAAAAAGAACTTCTGCAGATAGCTTATATCCCCTTTTGGACACTGCAAATCATGTAACAGAATAGTACTCAAATCAACTTAATTAGCTCCAATTTAATGCAAGATCCATTACATCGAAAAAAACATAAATAAAATAAGATATTAAAGAAAGGGGGGATTAAAAAACAGCTCACCTGCACAGACTGCTGATAAAGAGAAAATTTTGAAGGGAGCCCATTGTTAATTGATGTGCTTCCGACAAGACCCTTGTCTTTTTCTTGTTCTTCTTGCGATTCTTGGTCGGAGTCGGAGTCGGAGGGAGAAGCTTCTCGAGCAGAAGATGCCGGTTGGGTTAGCTGGTAGGTTTCTTCTTCATTTTCTTCCAGAGTGTAGGAGGGTTTTTTTCCTCTGCGGTGGTTCAGACTTTGCTTTTTCCCGCTCTTACCCATTTCCGCGCCGCCGCCGCCTCCGCCTCAACTCAAACCAATGCTCGCTCCGGCGAATTTTTACAGTTTTCTTGTCTTCTCGACGGAAAGGGAAGTTCAATAAGGAAATAATTTGGTTTACAGTAGTGATGAAGTGAAAATAGGGCAAATTAACAGACTCTTCAGATATTACAATGTTGCCACTTGCAACTTGTTATATTTGTAAACAACAAATTTCAAGTATACAAAAATATAATAAAAACGAGAAAAATAAATTGAGAAAAAATAATAATTATTAATAAAAAATGGATTACAATCTTCAAGAATTCCCGTAATTATTATCTCATATTCTAAATCAATTCAAAGGCTTAGACGTTTGTTATTGAACCGAATAAGTATAAACACCTCGAATTCAAATATTGTATGAATTCTCGACGGATGCTCGAGACTTGAGCTTGAGAGCTTGATATGTGTATGTTTGAATCTGAATTTGCATATATCGAAGACATACATTTTATAGTCACGAGCTAGTGTTTCGACTTTTAGTATGTTCTGGTGGACTCTTGTAATTTGATTTATTTGGGCTAAATATGGGCCCAATTAGTTAATCCATCAAATAAGAATATATTACTTATTTCCTGAACTAACCAATTTATGATATTTATAAAGCCCAAATCTATTATAGACTTCTATTGAGTCCCAATTTACTAACCGATTATTTGGATTATTAATTGGTGACTTATCTCGAAATTTTAATGTCAACAAATATATTAGGGGATTAATTGTTATATTTTTATATGGTTGAAATTTACTTTTAAACAAATGCGAACTCGGAAAATTTGATCAATAGGGCCGACAATTTGGATCCAGTTTCATGGATTCAATCAGATCCATATGGATTCGGCCATGTTCACCGGCAGTCCGCGGTTACGATGTTGAGTGGTATTTCTGTAAATAAATGTCAATTTTGTAATTAGAAAAATGAAATGTACGAGAAATGATTTGTGAACTTAACAACCAATCTAATATTTTTAAATACTTTTATCAATTTGGAATGCAAAGACTTGGATGGCGCGTGAGGGGGGTTGCGTGAGCACTGAGCAGCCAATAAAAGCGCGTTTACATCACGCGACTTCAGGTCAACAATTTCCAATCCCCAATTTGTGATACAAACGTGTACTTTCGCAGCCCATTCCCTAATTCCCCCAACCTAATCCACCAATTCAACCTTCAATCCCGAAAAAAATTCGAAGAATTCATCCTCCATTCTCCGATCTACGTCTCCGCAGAAGAAAACGAGCTGAAAAATCAACAATCGATCGAATCCGCCGTTGACAAAATTTTTTCAAACTTTTATGATCGGCAAGGATGTACAGCAATTTCAAGGAGCAAGCGATCGAGTACGTCCGGCAGGCGGTGGCGGAGGATAATGCCGGGAACTACGCCAGAGCGTTCCCGCTGTACATGAACGCCTTGGAGTATTTCAAAACCCACCTCAAGTATGAAAAGAACCCTAAAATTAAGGAAGCCATCACGCAGAAATTCACCGAGTACTTGCGCCGGGCCGAGGAGATCCGGGCCGTGCTTGATGAGGGCGGTTCGGGACACTCTGCCAATGGGGGGGATGCTGCCGTGGCGACCCGGCCCAAGACCAAGCCCAAGGATGGGAAAGATGGGAATGATGGGGATGATGCTGATAAGGAGAAGCTTCGGTCTGGTTTGAATTCCGCGATTGTTAGGGAGAAGCCCAATGTTAAGTGGAACGATGTTGCCGGATTGGAGAGCGCCAAGCAGGCCTTGCAGGAAGCTGTGATTCTTCCTGTGAAATTCCCCCAGTTCTTTACTGGTATATTGATTAATTATACTTCATATATATGTTTGTGTGCGTGTGTGTTTCCTTGGTCGTATTTTTGTGTGCGAAGTACAGACGAAATGAAATGTCGAAAAGTCTATTCCTTTGTGGTGGTCTGTTGGTGTTGCCTGATTAAATGCTCTAAATCACATTTGAATATTGAAGCACTGCAATGAATTGTTCTAAAGCCCACAAAGAGAGAAAATAATGAATTGATATAAATGTATCCCTATGATTGTATTGTTATATGATTATTTTTATTACGTGTGCTTTTTAGGGAAAAGACGCCCATGGAGGGCGTTTCTTTTGTACGGTCCACCTGGAACAGGAAAATCATACTTAGCCAAGGCTGTTGCCACTGAAGCTGACTCGACATTTTTCAGGTACCTTATATGTCAGCAATTGCACATACCTCTTTCCGTACTTTCTGCTTGATGATATCGTTCACTAACTGAGGGAGTTGCGTATGCTTCATTATTTATAAGTGAATGTAAATGGCTTCGTCTAGATATTGGTGCTTTTTCTCTCTGCACACAAGCTCTTTCTATTCCTTTGAGATGATTCGCAATGAAGTTCTAATAAAATGTGTATTAAGATGAGTTTACTCATGTGCTGTAATCTGTAGAAGGGCACTTTTTTCCTTACACATCTTTTTATTTGTTGTTTTTTTTAGTTCGTTGTTTTCAATGATCATGTACTTACGCCATAAAGTTGGCAAATGCCAACTTATCTTCTCTTTTAGTATTTCTTCTTCAGACTTGGTTTCAAAATGGATGGGTGAAAGTGAAAAGCTAGTCGCTAACCTCTTCCAAATGGCACGAGAAAGTGCTCCCTCCATTATATTTGTTGATGAGATAGATTCCCTTTGTGGCCAACGTGGAGAAGGAAATGAGAGTGAAGCTTCCAGACGAATTAAAACAGAACTGCTGGTGCAGATGCAGGTAACTTTAAAGTAGTGACCAATGATTGAAATTATGCCTTACAATTTCTTTGTGACTCTGTTAAGCAGACAACCTGCTTCATTTCTGTTATTGAATTGCCGATCCATCTGAGATCTTATGCGGTTACATATCTTTCTTCAAGTTGGCTCTTTAAATTGAATACTCATCCGCACTTGTGGTTGTTATGGTTCCTTGAACAAATAGTTCCGTACCTGTACATTGGTTGTGTATAACATCTATCATTTATGATTGTCCTGTGCTTGCATTGAAGGAAACTGCTACCCATGCAATTTGAATAATCTGACTGGAATTTTTTCATTGTGAAAATCAGTAATTCTTGTCTTGCAGTTCAAAAGTGCCAATTTTTTTTGATGGGGTGTTAAATTTCAAAATACAAAAATTAGCTTCAGGTGATTTTACACTGAGATGGTGGATAAATGTATGATGTATCTTAAAATTCTGTTAGCTAGTCCTCAGCTTGAAATGGTATAGACTTTTTTATAGATCTGAATGGATCTTGAAGATTTATATGTGGTAATTTGGGTTCATTATATTTCGTTGTTAATGCAGATAAATACTGTATTACTCACCAGTTTCATGGCTATCTGATATCTATTAATAGGGCGTAGGCCACAATGACGATAAAGTTCTTGTTCTTGCTGCAACAAATACTCCTTATTCTCTTGATCAGGTAACATCTAAATCCAGGTAGAGTTTTTGGCAAAATGATTGTTCTTTTTTTTTTTGGCTAATTTGGATATCTTTTCAATAGGCTATTAGGCGACGATTTGACAAGCGCATTTACATCCCCCTACCAGATGCGAAGGCAAGACAGCACATGTTCAAGGTAAGGAACTTGTCTTTTGTCCAGAGAAGGAATCAGAATTGGTTGTCGAAGATTGATATTCTCCCTTGTGCCCTGTCAATATTTGTGTAGGTGCATTTAGGAGATACACCTCATAACTTGACTGAAGCTGACTTTGAAGCCCTAGGTCAGAAAACTGAAGGTTTTTCTGGTTCTGATGTTTCTGTTTGTGTAAGTTTGTGATTGGTGTTTTAATATGTCCAATATTTATATGATGTCTGTTTTTTGTTGTGTAAAATTAATGTTAATGACTTTAATAGGTGAAAGATGTCTTATTTGAGCCTGTCCGCAAAACCCAAGATGCTATGTACTTTTTTAAGACTTCTAGTGGAATATGGATACCATGCGGACCCAAGCAACAAGGTGCCATCCAGATAACCATGGAGGAGCTTGATGCACAAGGACTTGCTTCAAAGGTATTAAATTTCTTAATTTATATCAGTATACGTTTTTATTTTATATATGTTTTGTATATTTGTACAATGTAAGATGAACATACTAGTGAATGTAAACAAAAACTAATGGCAAATGATGGCAAAATTCGATACTAAATATACTAACAGTTGTAATGCAATTATGCCTCGTTTGGTGCCCAAGGTAAGATTAGCTAGCTATTTTATGAGAACCCAATCAGGTCCAATACTGAGAACTTGTTTTTTAATAATTGCACTAACCAGATATCAAATAAAGATTTAATTAAATTATTTTTTTTTGTTATTGTTTCTGTAGATTACTCCACCACCTATATCAAAATCAGACTTTGATAAGGTGCTTGCGAGACAGAGACCGACTGTGAGCAAAAGCGACCTTGATGTGCACGAAAGATTCACCAAGGAGTTCGGTGAGGAAGGTTGAAGAACGTGTGGTGATTGGGTTTTGTTTTTTTCTTCGACTCGGTGCAATTTCAAGGCATTTGTATATTGTGTTTTATTCACTGGATTTAAACATTATTAGCCCTCATCGATAGGTGACCGCATATTTATCCTGCACTTGGCTGGAAAATGAGCCGACACTTTTCAAAATGCATGTTATCTTTTAAATGTTGTGTACAAACATTAAAACTACTGCAACGAATGTTGTTAATATATGGTGTGTTTTTCATGTGCAACACTATATACAATGGATTTTTATCTAGGCGTTGTTTTGTCCTACGGCTTGTTTTCATTACTTGGACTGCGTTTATTTTGTTCTGTTTTTGATGATAAACGATTGCAGGGATACAAACCGAAGCCAGCTTCCGATTTCCATATAGAGACAGTTAATATGGATGATGCTTTTGTATTTGGGCAAAAATTGCGGTAGAGCCGACAAAAACTCGAATATTGCTGTCAATAAAATCCCAAAGAATCAAACTAATCACCATTAGCAATTCTTGATTCACTTTCTTATGCAGCATTCTTACACACAACAATGGAAATAGCAAAACTTTCCAAAATGTTGAACCCTAAAATACAAATATGAAGGTCACTGCTTGTACATTCAACCGTGTCAAAGAAGACATAAAGAAGCAGATGAAAACGTCAACATGATGGCAAAATTGAATTTCGATTGTCTTATCCATCTCGAGTACCAAAATTCTATATTTACAACCAATAACGTTATTCTCTCTGATGAATTCGGTAGTCAATTCGCAACTTCTTGAAAATGTCACCAGTAATCACCGCAAGAGCACAAACCTTCACTAAAGTGATGAAATCGATTCGAATCCCTTACGATAATTTCTCTCCCTTCCAGCTTTGATATTAGCTTAATCACCGCGTGGCAGTCACCACAAACTCTAATATTCTTTATGATCCGTATCGGAATGCCATTAGGTATCGAAATCAATCCAAAGGCAATAGCAAGCCTCTCACTGTGCCGAGAAAGGATGGCTTCTTTCTGTTCCTCTTCAATGTCGTGGAGTACATAATTCGTATCCGGCCGATATCCTGCGTCCCTCAACCGAATACTTAATTCTCCGAGTTTCTTGTAAATCTGATCCGATAAAGGATGCGAAACATCGCCAGCTATGAAAGAGTACGTCTTCTTCTTCACTTCAATCCAGCTATACCCGGTTTCCTTTTTAACTTTTCTCTCGTCCATCAGTTTTCTCACTTTCGTTCGATCTGGCCAGTGTCCAGACGCAGCGTATAAATTAGCCAACAAGACGTATGCAGCCGAGTCCTGCGGTTGACACGAAATGAGCTTTTCAGCTGCAAATTTGCCAAGCTCTAAATTTCGATGCACTCGGCATGCAGCCAATAGTGTACGCCAAACAGTCGGCCCCGCAGGAAAGGGCATCCCGTCAATAAGAGCCATAGCTTTGTCCAGCATACCAGCTCTGCTGTACAGATCAACCATGCACGAATACAACTCCATCGTCGGAGAAATGCGAAGATCATTCACCATCATGTCAAAGTATACTTGACCTTCTCTTACGAGTCCCGTATGAGTACACGCACAAATGACACCGATAAACGTGATTTCGTCCATTTCCATGTTTTTCTTTTGCATTTCCTTAAATATTTTTAGCGCCTTTTCCCCGTAGCCATGTTGCGCGTACCCTGAGATCATCGAGTTCCAAGAAACTAAGTCTCTTTCCTTCTGCCTTTTGAAGACTTCGTAGGCACTCTCGATATCGCCTTTTTTGGCGTACATTGTTAAAAGGGCACTGCTTACAATCAGAGTGTTGTTATACCGATATTTGATTGAGCTTGCATGAAACTGCTTCCCCTGCTCTGATGCGGCCGAGTGTGTAGCACATGCATTGATTATACTAGAGAAAGTAAAATGATTTGGATCGACACCTTCCTTAGTTAACTGATCGAAAATATTTACAGCTCCTTCGATATCCTCTTCTTGGGCATATCCGACTAGCATTGCCGACCAAGCAACGACATCCTTATCTTCAATTCGTTTGAAAACTTTCGAAGCATCGTCGGTCTTTCCTATCTTGATATACGCATCGAGCAATGCTGTGCCTACTGAAGGCGATTTTTCGTAATTGGTTTTGACGATTTCTGCATGCACTTGAAACAAGGAATTGGTTGGAAGAGCTGCAAGTATTGTCGAATAAGTGTAATGATTAGGTCTGACATCTTCTCTTCGCATTTCGAGAAACATATTTAGTGCTTCTACTGTTCGAGAGTTCTTCATGTACCCTCCAATGATTGCTGTCCAAGACACCACACTTTGAACCGTGGATGTAACCAAGAAAATCTTGGCTGCATCGTCCATCGCACAACCTTTCATGTAGCACACCATAAGCGCCGTTCGAATGTTGTCGAAACAACCGAACCCGCTCTTGACAGCCTGGCAATGGATCTGTCTGGCGAGAACGAATTCTTTAAGGTTCGCACACAACTTAACAACACTCACGAAAGTTGTTTCCGTGAATTTTACACCTGCACACCTCATCCTATACAACATATCGAGAGCATCGAACTCAAGCCCGTTTGTAATAAGGCCTGCAATCATCCCATTCCAAGAAACCGAATCCCGACATTCTGTGCTATCAAAGACATATATAGCCTCTTTCGTCATCCCAGATTTCGAGTAAAGACTAACTAAAGAGTTCCCCACAACCCGGATTGAATCAAAACCGCTCTTGATAACCATACTATGCACTTGAGCTCCAGCATCTAGTTCGCCTTCATCTGCCAAAGCTCCAAGAACAGTTGCAAACGTGAAAGGGTTCGGTTCAACTCCTTCAAATTTCATCAGGCTAAAAATTTCTACGACCTTTCGAATCATCCCCTTCTGTGAATAGCCTGTGAGTAACGATGTCCAAGTTACTACATTCTTCTCTTTGATCTCATCGAACACTCGCTTGCCGTCATCCAAATTCCCGTTTTTCACATACATATCAACAAGTGAGGTTCCAACACTAACATCATCAAAGAACCCATTCTTAACACACTGGCAATGTATTTGTTTACCAAAAGCACGGTTGTACAAGGCTGCAGAAACCTTTAATATACAAGAAAGGCTACACCCATCGACTAAAACCCCGCTCCTGTTAATTACAGCATAAAATTTCAACGCTTCTACGTTCAGACCATTCCTCGAGTGCTCAAAAAGCAAGTGGTTGTAATACGAAATATCCCTGTGAGGAGTTTTATCAAACGGGTTGTGGGCGTTACGAAAAACTGTGAAATTAGTAGCTTCCTCAGGGGTTTCGGGTGCAACCGCTGAGGAATTAAAGAAACGAAACGACTGAAATGGGTTACAAGACAGATATTTGAGGTTTCGTAATGGTCTACTGCGATCAATCATTATAATTTGTGATTGAAATTATCCCCAAAAGGGAATAACGAGATTTATAACCGATGATCAATCAATCAGAGAAAACGAACCAATAGTTAGTAGCAAACTCCGTTGCGATATCGGTATGGTGAATGATCATGCTATAAATAAAACAAGTCTCCTCGTTGTTAATGTTGAACAACTGTTGAAGAACCGAATTTCAATTTTTGGTTTTAAGTTAACGGCTATTAAAGCTTCACTGTATATTTAAAATAAATAAATAATAATAATAATAATAATAATAATAATAATAATAATAATAATAATAATAATAATAATAATAATAATAATAATAATAATAATAATAATACAATTTATATTAGGTTATGGATTTAGGCAAATAATTATTTAGAGGCTAGAGCAATTGAATAAATAAGTGAAACAAGAAAAAACACACCCTTTTGTATGTATCTATAAACTTGTAAATATCATCACAATTACATAATTGAGTAGTAGTAGTAGATGTACATTAGTTAAACGAAATCATATTCTCGGACAATAACTTATAAACTAGTATTCGGTCCAAGAAAATATTGACAAGACACAATTAAACTATCTTGGGCCAAGTGCAAGGGCATTGCTCTAATTGTGTCAGATGGTGAGGGTATAGTTCACATGATCTATTCACATTGGGTTCGATTGTAGACTGATTTACATGTGTTCTATTCTCATTGGGTTCTATTCATATTGGGTTCGATTGTAGGCCGATTTACATGGATTCTATTCTCATTGGGTTCTATTCACATTGGGTTCGATTGTAGGCCGATTTACATGGGTTCCATTCTCATTGGGTTCTATTCACATTGGGTTCGATTGTAGACCGATTTACATGGATTCTATTCTCATTGGGTTCGATGGTAGATCGATTTATAAGGTCAATTTAAAAAAAAAAAAAACCATCTTGGGGCAATTTGATTCTCTTTCTTTATCTTACATCACATTGCACCGTTCAATACAAATACAAGAATTTTATTTATTACTCAACACTTAATTGCAAGCATTCTCTCTTCTTCTAAAACACAAAGAAAAAAAACAAGAAAATCAAACCCCAAATAACCTACGCACTAGGGTTTTTTCCCCCCTCAGGCTGCTCACAAAAAAAAAAAAAAATCAACCTTTTTTCACTATTTGCCATTCTAGAGTTCTTTTTTTATTGATTACTTCACTAATAATTTCTTAATCTTTGCCAGTTACTTGAAACATCCATAATTCTTTAAACCCATTTTTCCCTTCCTCAATTTGGTTAATTAAAGTTCCCATCTTTGCTGCCCTAATTTTCGAATTTTGTATTTTCTCTTACACTCTTTGAGGTTTAAATTTCTGGGTTTTTTCCAATTTCGCAAGGCAAGAACTTGGAGAGATTATGAATGGGTTTTAGGTGAAAAAAGAAACCCTTTTGTTTTTCTGTGTTTCTTGCTTTTTTCAAGAATTAATCTTGGAATTTTCAAGTTGTGAAAGATGATAGCAGAGAAACCTGGTTGGATTAGGCATGGTGGCACACAGATCTTCTCCATTGATATTCAGCCCGGCGGCCTCAGGTTTGCCACCGGCGGTGGCGATCATAAGGTAAATTTTTTTTTCTTTTTCTTTTTTTTTTCTTTTTCTGATTTGTTTCTTTTAATGCAAAAATATTTCTTGTCAATTCTGAAAATGTTGCCTTGTTAGGATTTGTAGTGAAGCAATTTGGACCATCATGCTGCTATAAGTGTCATAATTTTGTGGTTTTATGACCAACTCAGTGGTTTGCATATGTAATCGATAGGACGATTATCTTACGTCGTAAATCTTGAATACACCGTTTTTAAGCATTGGGTATTATCAGTAACTTATATTCGGATTTTTTAGAAGTAATTCGGTTTCAAAGAACACCCAATGAATCTTGGATCAGGGAAGTTTCTATTCATCGGTTACCGCGGGAAATCATCCGTTTGAATTTACGCGCGACAACAGTAAATACTGAGAAAACGATAATTTAAATTGCTCTAATCGTCCTTCAAATATGTGTAAACCACTTAGATTTTATCAAGATTCTCTTTATTGCCGAACTAAGCAAAGTTTCTGTTACATATTCAGGTCCGTGTTTGGAACATGAAATCCGTCGGCAGAGAACTGCATGCTGATGACGCAGCGTCGAATCTTCTCGCAACTCTTCGCGACCATTTCGGTTCAGTTAACTGTGTTAGGTGGGCCAAGCATGGCCGATACATCGCATCTGGCTCAGACGATCAAGTTATTCTCGTTCACGAGAGAAAACCAGGTTCGGGTACTACCGAATTCGGTAGTGGAGAGCCGCCCGATGTTGAAAACTGGAAAGTTGCTATGACTCTGAGAGGGCACACTGCCGATGTGGTAATAACATGATATTACCGTTTTTACCATTTTCTATAATCGGGTGTGGCGCGTGTACTAATTACTGTTTCTTAATGTAGGTCGATCTTAATTGGTCTCCCGACGACTCGACATTGGCCAGTGGCAGTCTTGATAATTCGATTCATGTTTGGGATATGAGTAACGGTATCTGTACAGCTGTTCTTCGCGGGCATTCTAGTCTGGTCAAAGGTGTGGCGTGGGACCCGATTGGTTCGTTTATAGCTAGCCAATCAGATGACAAGACTGTCATAATCTGGCGAACGAGTGATTGGAGCCTTGCCCATAGAACAGACGGTCACTGGGCTAAATCCGTAAGCTAAACAGTTTTCTATTTCTTTTGCTGTTTTTTACAGCTGTCTCGATTATCACATTTTTTTTTTCAGCTGGGGTCCACGTTCTTCAGGCGGCTCGATTGGTCACCCTGCGGTCATTTTATAACTACCACACATGGGTTTCAGAAACCGAGGCATTCTGCTCCTGTTCTTGAGAGAGGAGAATGGTCCGCCACTTTTGACTTTTTAGGACATAATGCTCCGATTATTGTTGCTAGGTTCAATCATTCGATGTTTAGACGGAGTTTCTCAAATTCCCATGATGTAAAGACTTCATCTGCTGGCTGGAGTAACGGTTCTTCAAGGACTGAAGGGAAAGACTTACAGCCGTATAATGTTATTGCAATCGGAAGTCAAGACCGCACCATAACTGTGTGGACCACCGCGAGTCCTCGTCCGCTGTTTGTGGCCAAGCATTTCTTTACTCAAAGCGTGGTGGATTTGACCTGGTAACAAAATTATCTTTCGGTTTTTCTTTTTGTATATTTTTGTACTCGTGAATAAAAACTCAGTCTTTGCTTTTTTTGAGCTGTGTTCTTGAATTTGATATGTGTGATTTTAAGTAAAATCAACAAGATGCTGTAAAATTGTAGGATTTTTACTTACCGTGTAAATTTACATAGCATGACAATATTTTTGGTGTCTCAACATATATAGAACATCACCTAACATGAAATAAAGTTGTGTCCCGACATAAATAAACAATGATTTTTGTATGGTTGTTGATTCTTGGATTAGTTCTTGATCGTTGTTGTTCATTATTATTCTATGGTTCAATTTCCACCAAATTTCAGAATTATTCGTCTTACTTGAATAAATAAAAAAAAAATAAAAATAAAGTTGTTCAGTTCACTGTTAAAAATTGTAGAGCTTCACTTGTTTTGAAGGGTAACAAAATTGAATTTAGCCTAATAAATTGACTTCTAGCCGACTTATGATTCCAATGTAAAATTGTAAATTTTAAAATTTTAAGGATTTTACTCCCTGACTTGAGGGATTTTGCTTCGGAAATGCTAGGATTTTAAGATTTTAATTGCTTATTAGTCTTCAAATTTTCACTTGCAGGAGCCCCGATGGTTACTCGTTATTTGCTTGTTCATTGGATGGAACAGTGGCGACATTTCATTTCGATGCGAACGAAATAGGCGAAAAGTTGACCGATTCCGAATTGGACGATCTGAAAAAAAGTCGGTACGGTGATGTAAGAAGCCGACAAGGGAACTTAGCCGAAACGCCAGCTCAGCTACTGCTCGAAGCAGCAGCAACCGCAAAGCAAACACCGAGCAAAAAAACGAGCACCTTTGCCATGGAAAATCAGACATCATCCTTAAAATCCTCAGTCGATTCAGTGGTTGTCACAACAAAAATCAAGAAGACTAATGATATCAATAATGATGGAAAGAAAACCGAAGATGCTATAGTTGATGGTTCGAATAAAGTGGGCCAGGCCCGAATTTCGAGCCCCGTAAAGCAAAAGGAGTACAGACGACCCGATGGTCGGAAGAGGATAATTCCGGAAGCAGTTGGTGTGACAGATCATCAATCCGAAGCTATCGAATTATTACCACCTGTGAATACCTTCAATAATCATGACAAGAACGATAATGGAACAGTGCGGAGAGTTATTAGTGGGGCCCACGAGCGCTCGGGTGTCACAGCTAGGGCCTCTGTTAGTGACAGCTTGGTGATTGAGAAAATCCCGGCTAGTGGAAGTAAAGAAACGAATAGAAACGTCGAACAGATTGGTAGTGTGGCATCTGGTGGGAATATTCTTTCGATAAGAGTGTTTGATAAGAAACGAGGGGATGATGCTTTGCCTGTTTGCTTGGAAGCTCGTCCGAGAGAGCATGCGGTTAGTGATATTGTGGGAGCTGGAAGTACATTTGTGATTAAGGAAACGGAACTTTCTTGCACACGAGGGTCTGAAAATCTTTGGTCTGATAGAATATCTGGGAAAGTTACTGTCTTGTCTGGAAATTGTAATTTTTGGGCTGTTGGTTGTGAAGATGGATCCCTCCAGGTTTGTTTAAGTATTATTAAGGTTATTATTTCTTGATTATTAGTATAAGGTATTAAATTGTTTGTGTTGATTACTTTGGTTTGCGAAAAAAAAAAATAGTATGTGTTTTTTTTTTTTTTTTTTTTTTTTTTAAATCTGTTGATTGCAATACTTTTTCTTGAGAAGGTATATACGAAATGTGGGAGGCGGGCCATGCCGACTATGATGATGGGGTCCGCATCGGTATTTATTGATTGTGACGAATTGTGGAAACTATTGCTCGTGACTAGAAAAGGGTCCGTTTATGTCTGGGATATTTTTAACAAGAAATGTCTACTTCACGATTCTTTAATTTCACTGATAACACCAGATATGAATCCAACGATAAGGATACTGGTAAGTCATAAAAGGGACTCATGGCGGTGGCGAATGGCGCGATAAGCGCGTGCCCTGCCGTCTGCCCGCTTTTCTTCCCCCTCTTCTCTCTTT